TTCCAGAGGGGAGGGGCTTAGCATCCGTTAGGGCTTGAAAAGCCATAGGTTTCACTGATATCACTGTATGTATACCCTTGTCTCCTTAACTCTAATATTTTCTCCTTTTTCTCTATCTCCATTTTAATTCTCATTTTTCCCCTTTCATTTCCTCTCTCTTGATTTTTTCCTTTTCATCTTTTTTCCTTTTTTCCTTTCCACGCCTTTGTCCCCCTTTTCTTCTCTTGTTTTCTTTGTTCTTGCTTCATTTGGTAAAAAAACCTATTTAAGTAAACAACCCGCTGGGTTGGTAAAATGAATGAATGAAACGAATGTTATTTAATAATACCACTGATTCTTATTTCAGGCGGGCACACCCATTCCTTCCTTTATACCAACAAGGAAATCTTTTAAAAATACAATCATAATTTTTAGATTTTTATAATTGCATTGGCGTTATATTTTGTCTCTAATTTTCTCTTTTCAATTTATTTTTATTAAAAGGATTTTAGACGTATAGTTTCTAGTGGACCTCCATTTATAGATTCACAATGGTACCCTTTAAACCTTTATCTGAGAAACAATTAAGAAAATTTCACCATTTTCATTTATTTATCTTTAATTCTGACAATTTTATCCATCTGCTCTAAATCCGTAATTTCCCAATTATCCTCTTCTTAATTTTATTATACAATGTCATTGTCAAGGATTTAGGGGCTGTGAATCGGACAGAACACTTTATAAACTTGGAAATAACATGTTCAGTCCATTTAAATCAATCCCTTTAAATCAATCCCATTAAATCAGTCCCTTTAAATCAATCCCTTTAAATCAATCCCTTTAAATCAGCCCCATTTAAATCAATCCCTTTAAATCATTCCCATTGAAATCAATCCCTTTAAATCATTCCATATTTTTAAATGATGAAGGCGAATAGTCCTACTAGAGATGAAAGTATCCATGGTCCCTACCCTACTCTAGTTAGCAATAGGTGATCAAGATTTTATTTTAAAAATTACATTTTTTTGCAATTTTCTGTCGTTGGGCATTTCTGAGTATGATTCACAACATTTTTTAACAAATCCGCGAACTTTTTTGTTGTTTTTGTTTAGCAATAAATACAAAGAGAAAATGTTCACAATTTAAATAGAAGATGGGCGCGAAGCTCCCGGAAAGCATAGTATTTACACTAAATGCTTGTCTGTCTGTTAGTAACCCATAAACGTCAAAACGGCTGAACCAATCGGGACCAAATATAGTGTGGTACCCCACATGGCCCCAAGGAAGGTTTATGATCAAAATTGGGGGGGAAATAGTTGACATTTTATTTTTGAAAATGCGCCATTTCGAAAAGAAAATCTGCCAAAATTTGCGGTAGGCAACTAAAATCGGAGTAATATATATTGCACGTAGATTGAAATTTGACATGTTTTCAATCACAACTCCTCATATTGAAGAACTATTGAGAAGAACAAAAATTATTTAAGTTTGAAATATGTTACCGGCAAAATTTCATTTTCTCATACTTGTGTATAGATCAAAGCTATAGGAGGCACGAGGTCAGATAGTCGTAGCAGTAACATAGCATGTCTAGTTCACAGTGATTTGGTAATTACGCCAAATTGAGCTCATTCAATCGGAATAGTATCAATTAGGTTATCTCATTTTCAAACCATCTTTAGATTATGCACTTTTTTGGGACACCCTGGAACTTAAGTTGTATTTTTATTTTATTTAGAACCCTAGTCGTTCAAGCTTATGCATACACTAAATATCTGGGCTTTCTCAATATAAACTTCAGGTGAAGTTCATTTTTTTAAACATACATATTAAGTAAGACAACCCTGACATCATTTCATACAATTTAATAACACTTTTACTCAAAATTTGCATATAGCTTGATGAAAGCATTCCTTGTAAATAAAACCCAAGATTTTTCCCGCCAAAACTTTGTATTATTCCCCCCCTGTGACCATCCTTCATGAATATTCAAATAAATATCTAGTTTATCTAAAGTATAACTTTTTATATTGTATAATTTAACATAAAATATATGTAAATAGAAACTTTTTAACAAAACAGCAAAAATATTTTTTCAAAGGTACTTAATGTTCACTTCTATATAATTATACATATATTGAATTTAATTGTAGTTTTACATGAAAATCAAATTTAAGCGGACTATCCTTGTATTTTCAAATGACCCTTCATATATTTGGGGTATTGCCTATTTACAATAATATCTTATTTTATTTTGAAAATGTTTAATTCTTTAATTCCTTCTATTGTATCGGCAACAGAAACAACAATGGAGAATTATCAATTTTCAACAAAAAAGGATAGATATTTTTTTATTTTTACTCAGACAGCGCTTTAAGAGCAATATTTGTAATCGGACTTGTGATTTATACTAAGGAATGAGTCAAGTTTGATAATAATTTATGATTTGATTATATAGACTAAGCTAAAGACCCCGGGGTTGCCAGTTTAAATTTTTTTTTTTAAATTTCGAATTTTTTAGTCTTTCCCCCGGCCACCCATGAGTTTCCATAAAAAAAATTCAACCCTATCGGTTCAGCCGTCTGGCCGGCTATTCACAACATATATATGAATGTCTTGTTTTATATTGAACTAGCTGAAGGACCTGGCGTTCTCTGAGTCGGGTTCAAGTGTGTAGGCAAGACCCGCCAGTCCGGGGTTGCAAAAATGTTCGGATTTTCAANTTGAACATTTTCATTTGGCGTTTAGCAAATTTTTTAAGAAATAAGCATTTTCAGTGCTCAAAATAAAAAATTACTCCTATAGTATGTAAAAATATTTCTACCTTAATGCTGGACTTACAATTTTTTCACTCAGACATATAGCTCTAAACAAAATATATTTCCATTTCCATTGGCATTACATAATTTTTAATTACAATTTCACATATTGTTTAAGATTAAGATTAACTGCAACAGGTTGTTCAGGGTGTTTTTTCATGCGACTCATTAAGTTACAAGTTACCCCAAAGGATGCGATTTTAAGATTGTAGAGTTTTAATCTGTTCTTAACTCCTATTCTTTGTGGTTAACCCTGTAGGTTTAAATATAGCGATGGGCAATTGCTAGATTTGTTTTACAAAAACTTTTAATACTTTTCGACTTTTAAAGATTTACGGGTTCAACGATTTGAAATTGTCTTCTATAGAAGTTTACTATTATCAAACATGCAAATTTATTATCCTAGGTGAAAACATAAGGCAAAAACGAACTGAAAACGATTGTTTAAAAAAACCCAAAAACTAGCGTTTATGCCTTATATTTTCTTCGAGGATAACAAATTTTCATGTTTGGTAAACTTCTACAGAATAAAGTTTTAAAATGTTGGAACCTTTTCATATTGCCGAAATACCTTTTAAAAGTCTAAAAACATTCAAAACTGCTGTAAAATGAATCTGGATATTGCCCATCCCTACTAAAAATTTAAAAAATTAATTATTTTCATGTGGATTAAAAGTAAAGTTTAGCATCAGTGCAAGTGGGCCGCCCCAGCCACTGAAGTTGAGGGCGAGTCAGGCCTGGGCCTTATTATACACTTGAACCCGAGTCAGAGCACCTGTGTAAATGCCCGTTACTATATTCATTGCCCAGCTTTGAGTTTTCAAGGGATCAAGCTGAGACTATCAGGGTACCCTCTCCATTCCCATGCCTAGCTTGAATTAAATTTTGGTGAGCCGCCTAGCATTGCAAGTGGGCCGCCCCACCCAGTTAGGCTTGGGTCTTGTTATACACTTCTACCCAAGTCAGTGCCCGTGTAAACGCTTGTTACTATATTCATTGAATTTTTAAAAAATTTCGATTTTTTTAAAGCCTTCAACACCCCTTAGTGTCCACAAAAATGTCGGCCCAATCGGTTCAGCCATTTGGCTGGCCATAGGCAACATATATATATTCGAATGTCTTGTATTATTATATAGATATAGTTTTTTGATTTGTTGCACTAAAGCGATTTTAAAGCTTTAGAAGGTCATGGAGTACAAATTTTAATAATTTTTAATTCAGAATAAAATTGATTTAATAATATTTAAAGCATATCTTTGTTACAATTTGCAAATGATTCAGAGTTAGAAACTTATTAATAAAAAAACTGAGCTTAGCTCACTCTTTGAAATCAAAGTGTTCCAGCTCAAATCTAATAAACAGAGAACAAGCAGCTTAACACTGGCATTTAGATGCAGAATTTTAACAAATATTTATAAAAAACTAAATATATCACAACAGCATGAATTTACATTTTTGGTGTCTCTGACTTTTATCTCTTTATATCTCTTTAAAGGGAGTGTCTGGCTAGACTTTGGCGTAAAACAGGATTTTAAAAATTGATTTTGCAGAGCTATTTTGCAATTATACACCGTACAGACGTCTGATATAGGTCTGAAATAATTTCTAAAAAATTTCTTTACAATACTGCATTTTTAGCTCAACTGCCGTGTCAAGCCAGACACTCACTTTAAGTTATCGAGAAAATTAAACAGTATAACTTCGCTCAAGATTTTTTTTGGCCTGACTGATAATTGTTTGAACATTTTCATTTTTTGATTTTTTAATTAAACCCGGACTGCATGGGGTACTGCACGGTGTACTGTACGTAGTACTAGTGTACTTAAAGAACAGTTTTCCCGCATTTAATTCCTCAAGTTGGTGACCCGATCCTCCAACCATAAGTTCATTAATAAATTCCACTTGTTGAGTTGATCCGCCCCCTACTGATCTGATGATACAAATACTGTTTTCATGAACAGAGACTGAATTTATTATCTCGTGTTGTCCCGCACCGAATACGTAAATGTTGTTCACTTGAAATCCTTGATTGCTGACTCCGTTTAGTGCATTGTTGTGCTGACCCTTCGGCCGTAGACAGAAAAACAGACCATTGAACAGGTCTTTCAGAAATATGAAGTAGATCTTTTTGAAATCCTGAACATATTTTTAATTAACCACAGGCTTGCTTTTAATAGTTTTACATTTAAAATATTACTATTGCTATTATTATAAAAGCGCATAAAAAAAGGTTTCGCAGATTTTTATGTTTTCTGTGCAGGATTTTTTTTAATTGACCGGTCATAAACCTTCCATTGGGGCATGAAAGGTCCTAAACATTTGAACCCAATAGGTTTTTTAATATTATTGGATACAAGCAAGCAGTTAAGTTATATATTTTTAGACAGATATGAATGAATGGGAATCCCATTTTAGGCTAGAATAATGTGCGAAAGTGAAATAGTTATGTATTTGAAATTTTTACTTAAAACGAGGATGGCAAAAAACCTGAATTTATTCTTTCCTAGCTCTTATTCAAATATTTAACAACCAAGAAAAAAAATGTGCTAGATTGGGAACCACTGGATACATAGAGAATAGAATATATAGAGAGGAATTAAAAGAATCTCTCGATATGAATTTTTTCAGTCCCTTTCAGTCTGAAAGGGAGTTCAAAGTGTACAAATCATGTAAATGTTCACAAATTATATGCAGTAGAGTACATAAATACAGTATGTTCCCTAGACTATTCATTTCAATTTCGAATTTTTTAAACTGTTAAATAAACTTTATAATGAATTAGTTGAATAAAAACATCATTTGATTTATAGTTATAACGGAAAATCATCGTTTGTAAAGTGGAAGGCATAGAGTCTATGTGAAATGATCATTGGTCAATTAAGAAACCAGCCTATTTCATAATTTGGTTTTCTTTTAGCAATAATTCTAGATTTTCTATATAATGATATTCCAGGGCCCAACAGGTTATATAGCATAAATATGTGAAGTACACCTGCAGTATGGAAACAGTACAACAAAATGGCCGTTTTACACTTTTTTCCATTAAATTCCTCTCTATATATTCTATTCTCTATGACTGGATATTAAACTTTCGATTTAAAAGTCACCGACATAGCTTAAACTCTGTTTATTGTGAGACAGTAAAGACATAAGATGTCAAAAAAAAGAAGAAATTTTCACTACTAGTAATGGATTTGAAAAATTTAATTTTTTTAGAAGGAGAAAGGAAAACTCATGCAAAAATGTTCAAATTTTTTTCAAAATTTCATTAAAATTCGTTATTTTGTTTTAGTGAATAGTTTAATCTGATTCTGTAGATCCGCAAAGTTTTGCGGATCCAATTCTAGGGAGCTAAAATATTGCCAATCTAGTGGTTTTAGTGAATCCCAGTTAGGTCGGATCCCTTAGGCTAAAGCTTAAAACTGCATAGAGGTTCATACTGGTGTAATGGAAACTTTCTCTTATAAACTGAAAACGGACTTGTAACATGGGGAATACTCGGACAAATATCTAACATGTTGACCATGCAGGTAGATGAAAGTATGATCTTTAGAAAAAGTAACAAAGTAAAGGCCTATATTAACCCCGCTGAGAAATTATCAGAAATCCGTAAAAATGGGATCAGTTGATTAACAGAACGGAATATTTTGATATCTGAAAAGATTTTTAACACATTTTGTTTCATAAAAAAGGTGTGGAGTTATGCAATATTGATAAATAGCCAAAGTATTGAAGTCAATATTTTAGATTTAAAAACAAATTTTAAAAATTAGAAAATGGATTTTAAGAAAGACAGAATTTAGAATTGATTGATTTACCTCGAAGGAGAAGACTAAAATTAGACCAGGAAAGGAGGGGGAACAACACTATAATTAGACCAGGAAGGAAGGGGGAGCAAGACTAAAATTAGACCAGGAAGGGATGGGGAGCAAGACTAAAATTAGACCAGGAAGGTAGGGGGAGCAAGACTGAATTAAGATCAGGAAGGAAGGGGGGGTGTAGCAAGACTAAGGAAGGAAGGGCAAGGGAAAGATTTTCTACTTTAAGCAAGATACAAAAGTTATTAATATAAACCTAGAAAATGTATTGTGTAGTTCCACCAATACCAAGAGTAAGAGAGTAGGGTTACAGCAGCTTTGGTGTTTTTCATATCAGGTCCCTTCATAATGCTATCTGCCCATTCTAAACAATAAGAAATAATAATAACTAGCTGAAGTGCCCGGCATTAACTGTGAAGAAAAACCTTAAATTTGAAAAAAAATTCAATAAAAAAATTAGAATTTTATATAAAAAAAAATTTGTACCCAATGTTACCCCCAACGTACTCAAGAGTTACCTAAAAAAATCAAACAATTAGAGCTTTATTATATAGATTTACACTTCAAGCAAAGTTAATTTAACTAAACCCGCAATTGAAAGTAATCTATTCTCCTCTGCATTCTTGATCAGACTTTTAAATGGAGATTCACTTAAATTTACGTCTACTCTACTTTTCATTAAAGCAACATAAAATTGAATAACCTATTAATTACGCCGTGCTTAAAACTTCAAAACAAAAAGGAAAATTATGGCTATAGCGGAGAATTTATTATGAAAACAATGACATATACCCATGAACCCCAAAGGCAACACTTTTTTACTATTTCTCCTATTTTCATTTATAGTGTATCAAAAAAGATTGAAATTATTAAATAGTCAGGTTGGCCATGAATTAAAGTTTGAGGACCAAGTTTAACCATCAGAAAATCAGAGTTAAAGAATTTATGGCCGATATTAAAGTTTCAGCTTTGTTAGAAACCCTGTTTTTTTTTGTCAGTGTCAAAGTTAGCATAATTTCACTGAAGGAATATATTAAGATTAAAATTTTGAATTTTGTTAAAACTAAATTATTAAAAGGCACAGTCCCAAGAAATGAGCTTACTGCTGTCATGCTGATGACAGAAGTGGCATTTGTTGATTGCAAAACATTGAATGGGTTGGTGAATAACTGACTCAACTATTGCCCCCTCATGGGTACACAACCTGATTAAAAGGCTCAAGCTTTTTGTGCTTAATAGGGTGGAAACCATATGTTGAATGATTTAATGGACAACTGGTTTGACAGATGATTTGCCTTTATATCACAATCAAGGAACAAAGAACTTAGCTGATCTCTTAACTAAAAAGCACTTTTTGCCCCGGGAAGAGGTTGATTGTGATTCAGAATGGCAATGTGGTCAAGGATGGATGACTTTGTCCCTTGAAGAAATGCTGCTTACAACGTTTTCAGACCTGAAACTTGACAGAGATTCACTAGACATAATGGGGATTGAATGCTATCAGGAACCTTTTAAAAATGGTTAGAAGAAATTCATAGCAGTTCTTTAGAATTTGTTGTATACAACCTTTGCAGTTATGAACATGTTGAGGAAAATTAATTAACTGAAGACACGGAAGAATTTTCTGGAACATCCATTCATATCTCTAAAAAGTCTCACAGATCAAGAAAAGATAGGATATAGTGGTGGACATGATCTTAAAGGGATGGTTTAGAGGAATGGTTACAATTGCTAAAATAAAGCAGATAGCCAAAGTTTGGATTCATGAGAGCCATTTGAAGAAAGCAGCATAGGTTAAGGAATGTCTATTTTGCTCTTACTCCAATGATTGTTCAGAATCAACAAAGTTTGATCAAATTCTCAAGGAAACAGAACTGTTATTGTTCAAACATGAGACTCAGGTGATAATGGAAATGGTTCCAAAGGAAAGGTTATCCAAGTTTGAGCTAAGAACTGATGATATCTTGTATCATTCTGTGAGATTATCAGAGTTAACTACATTTCTAACTAAGGATCTGGATCTTGAAGCATTCTTTGACAATACTGAGTTCACTGGTTTAGTTCCAGTAACAGCCAATTATCTCATTTTCTTTGCTTATCTCATGGCAGTTTATACAAAAATCCAACCACATGCAGGTGTTGAAATCACACTAAGGGAGATCTCTAAGAAGATGTATGTTATTGATAATCCCAGAAGAATTATCAAACAGGTGAGGAACTATTGTATAAAACGCAAGCCATTCTTGAAGAAAACAATGGAGTTAGAGATGAGTAAGCACCATTTTCCATGCACAATGATTGCTCTAGTGTTCTACAACTATCAGATGTACATAGTCTATGGCATAGTCTAGGAAGACCTTTAAAATATATGTCTATTTACATATACAATCAACATTTTAGCCTTGGAAGGTACGGAAACACAGGATGTGAGCAACCTGTTGGAGCTAGTTGTCTAGTCTACCTATAAGAGCTAGTTTTCTAGCTTACCTATTGGCCTATTAGAGGTAGTTTTTTAGCCTACATATCATTGCTAGTTTTTTAGCCTACCTATTGGTGCTCGTTGTCTAGCCTACTTATTGTTGCAAGATGTCTAGCCTACCTATTGGTGCTAGTTGTGTAGCCTATCTATTGTTGCTAGTTGTCTAGCCTATTTATTGGTGCTAGTTGTCTAGCCTAACTATTGTTGCAAGTTGTCTAGCCTATTTATTGGTGTTAGTTGTCTAGCCTATCTATTGTTGCAAGTTGTCTAGCCTACCTATTGGTGCAAGTTGTCTAGCCTATCTATTGTTGCAAGTTGTCTAACCTACCTATTGGTGCAAGTTGTCCACAGAATAGAAGATAGCTGATACATATAATTAATAACATCTTGGAGACTTTATCCATAACTCTTCTCTGCCTGTCTGTAACAATTCAAAACTAATTCAACATTCAATAAATTTTTAGCTAGGGCTCATTAAAATTCTGCTAACATTTTTTTTGAAATCTCTTACAAAGGCAAAAAGAGTTGTTAAAGCTAAGGTTAAGAACAAAGGTTATGAAAATTCTTTTAAAAAATGACTAAACAAAGGTTAAAAACAAAGGGTATGAAAATTATTTTTTAAAATTACAAAAGGATACTTTAGTTTTCAACAATTTGCAGAAATATCTGTAAACAACCAAAGGAATTCTAATTATCACTTAAAAATTAGCCTTTGATTCAAGAAAGGATGGAAAAAGAAGAAACCTGCCCAGTGCTGTTTGTAGCCTGCCCTTTTGTATTAAATTTTTGAAAATTGTTAAAGTAGGAATAAGAATATTTTCGAAATTAAGATTAAGAGAGAAATCTTTACATTGTCAAATATTTTGATTGTTTCCTAGAATGTTTGTAGTTTGACTTGATCTATGTTTAAGGAGACAGAAGAGGGTTATATAGGAGATATTTATTAAAAGACAGGGAACTAGGAATCCAACAGAGAAAGCAAATCCTGCCATAGAACGTTTTGTGGAAGTGCCAGGAGCAACATTACAGATTCCAACATCATTGTATCCAAACTTTCCGAAATCTAAGTTTGGATCATTCACTTCAAATAAGGTGGGGGAGATGTTGATGAAGGATAATAACCATGTTAAACAGCAGAATAAAACCATTTTACAGGGGGTCATTAAGCTATCTCTTCGGGGAGAGGATGTCAGCTGTTCTGTTACCAATCCTTTTAACCTGAAAGTAAAACTCTATAGTTTTTTTTTCAGTTTTAAGAAAAACCTATACTTTTGATACTATAATTACACAATTTATTTTAAAGCAAGCTGAAATCGATTACCCTTAAAGTTTCTTAATTAGGAAAAAATCTGTTTTTGATAAAATTGATTCTTTCATAAATGTGTGCTGCTTTTTAACTTAAACAGAAGTTTTTTTTTATTACCTGAGTAATCCAATTACTGCAATGGTTGAGAATTCAGCAAATGCGTTCAAATTTCTGAAAAGAGCTGTGTTATGACACACACTTTCTGAGAGGGGGAAGTAGCCGTATATGGTAGGTAGCGTGAGAAATGGTAGACCGAAGATACAGTAGAGGAAATCACAGAAGGAGAGATGAAGGATAAGAATAGTTAAAGGGTTCTTTAACCAAGGATATTTACATCTGGTGGCAGGGTATCTAGAATATATTCGATTTTACCAATTTTTTAAAATGAAAAATGAAAAAAATTTCAGGTCAATATGCTTACCTAAAAAATACATAGATCACAGATAAAATGAGCAACAGATTTCCCATCCCTCCTACACAAAAACAAATCTAATGACATTAAAATATTAGATGGATATTTGTGATGGTAAAGTTACGCAATATCTCCTCGATTGAACTTCTGACCTACTGCAATATCAGAACTACCACGTCCACAGCTGTTTTATTTTCTATTATTTGAGGATTAGGTCTGGTTAAAGGGAGTGACCTGCTATGTATGGTAGTTGAACTGAGAATGCAGTATTGTGGATAAATTCTTTAGGATTCATTTAAGACATATAAATCGTTTCTGCAAGTATGTGCGCAAAGTCGACTTTAAAAATCGTCTAATTTAGTGGATATGTTTGAGAATTATGTTTTTTTAGATTATTAAATAACCAAGACAAAAAATGTAAAAAAATTCTACAATAAAATGATGGCATACATAGAAACAGGTTGAAAAAAAGAATAACAACACTTATAATTTACTATCATTTCTTAAAAGTTATTTTTTGAACCCTCAATTGAAAATCTATGCATGAAGACAACATTTTTCTCTGTTCAATCAATAATTATTTAAAATTAATATTCCTTTTTTTTAAAGTATGATCATGTATATATATATACTTATTACAGAACCCATTTCTGTAATATATTCATTTAATTTTTTTAATTCCAAAACGTTTTTTAAAAAATTTCAGTGCCTGCCGGATTCGCTAATATTATACTTATTTCGATGATAAGCGTTAAATTCTTTTCTCAGCTTGCTTTTTAAAACGATTCTCAAAACGAATCCACCCAAAAGGACGATTTTAAACGTCGACTTTGCACTTAAACTCAGTAATTATACATCATAGAATTGTCTTATATGCCTCAAATGAATCCTATAGAATTTGTCCACAATACTAAATATACTCAGTTCAACTAACATGCATAGCCGCGGTCACTCCCTTTAAGACAGTTTCTGGGCCAAGCGCTGCAGTTAGGACAGGCTAGGGGGCTAAGTGCCATGGCAAGGACAAACTAGGGGGCCGACTGCTGGGACCACATGTCTAACTTACAACTGTAAAACTACGTGCTTAATATAGTTCCAAAGTGTAGTATAGGGAATGTGGCGTAGGTCAGAAGTGGAGTAAAGCAGATATGCGAGGGTCGAAAGATACACCATCATTTTTAATGCATTGTTTGATTTACCTATTGCTATGATACAGAATATGTTGGTTAGGAAAATTGGCTCAAGCCAAGTGTTTTGCATGAACATCGGAATACAATTGTTTATAATGTCCTTTTGATCGATAAACCATGGAACTGATCTAAAAAAACATTCAATCAAACAGTCGCCAATTTCAAATAGATTTTTATTGCCTTTTCAAATTTAAATGTTGTATTAATTGAAATTATTTTTATTTCTATATTTCCAAAATCTTTGACTGTAAAGAAAAGTTCTGTAGGTTGTTAAATACTCTTTTTCATTTTTAATCTCATTTAAATCACTTTAAAATTAGCGTAGTTTAAAAGTAATCTTGCAAACGTCTTAATAAAAGGTATGATTGTATAGCTTACTGCTCACCCATCATCTTGCAAAGTGCATGCACTTGAGTTAAAAATATATGTCAAGGACATATTTTTAACAAAAGTATCTACAGAGGATATATTTTCAGCATCAGATTCTTCTTCTTCTAAATCATGCATGATTGCCATGGTTCAGTTATATTCCTGTCAAGTTCTCAACATCTGAAATCGTTACTTATTAATTCAAAAAGGGGATGGTGGAGTTGGCACATTTGATGTAGGGGGGGGGGGGGCCTGCCTTAATTTTTGGTTCAAATCTTTTTTGGGTGCACGCCTAATTAGTGATAGAAATTCCTATAATAAATTAAAAATGAAGGCAGGGCCCCCCCCCCCTACATCAAATGTGCCAACTCCACCATCCCCTTTAGATAAATGAAATAGCGAGAACACTGAGAACAGACAAACCCGTAACTTAGTCATCAACTTTCAAGACAGTCTCGACAGTCCCAACTCCAACTCACATATTTTTTGTAGTCCTAGACATAAATATTTTAAAAATGCAACGTGCTTGTTTTTAGCTAAAGCTAAAAGGAGTATTTGGCGAAATACTGATTGATTTTTGTGTTTGGTTTGCAGAGATAAGTAGTTGAACCCCATACAGTCAGTTCAACCAGTTTGTGTCTGTGAAACAAGATCAAGGTGAAGAGAAGTGATTCAAATAATTTCTTAGTATACATACATTTTAACCAGTTCTCTAGTGGGCCGGAGGCCGAATTTAAAGAATATTAAAGCCGCATCTCTAATTTGAGACACGTCTCAAATATGGTTGGTTCCAATTGAAATTGTTATTATTGTTTTGAGATTTGAGCTGACGCTCAATTGAAACCGATTTTGGTGGTTCAGCGAAATGGTTTAAATTATTTATATATTTATATATGGATCAATTTAATATATCGTTTATGTAGAAAATGTAAGAACGTTTTAAGAGCATTTTTAAAAAGTTTTATCATTAAGTTTTTGCTGTTGAGTAATTGAGTAAATCTTGCCTTTATTGGAATATTTTCAGTCAGAGTTTGTTCTCTCATTCAAAATCTGTCAAAAATGACCGTTGATTAACATTTTTTTAGAAATGCAAATTAGGTTATTATTACATGCACAAGGTTACCCACAAAGAATGAGAACCTTAAAATCTTAAATTAAAACCATGTGAAGGCTGAATTCCATGGATCCGAGAATGTAAGAAAAAAGTCTAAGTAATTTCTAAAGTCTCATTCTTTGCGAGTAACTCGTTTCAGGGGCGTCCGAGAGAGAGGGGCACTGGGTGCACGTGTCCCCTACGGAGGCCCCCGTTGCCCCCGTTGCTCAGCACAAAAAAATCTAATTTCTGGAAGGAAAAATTTTTTTTGAAAGAGGGGGCAGATTTTTCAAGAAAAGAACTTAGCCGCACAATAAAATTTTCTAATCCCTATTTCTTTAAAACCTGATGGTGTAAACCTTTGATATTTCAAACTTAGACTTTCATAGTTCATAGAATTCATAGTTTAAAAAATATCAAAGATCTACGACATCGGGTTGCCCTGATGTAGGGATTATAATATTGGAGTTTGTGAACAAAACTCTTTTTCCTTGTACCTCTGATATATAATCAAAAAATATGTGTTCTTTAATATAGAGATAAAAAACTTATCAGTATACTAATACTTTAGTCAAAATAGGGTTTTCAGGGTGGGGGCACAAAATCTTCTAGGGGTGCACAAACATAATTTCGGCGCACTTACGCGCGCAAAAGGTTCCCGCGCCCCCCTACACTAAAACTCTCGTACGACCCTGAGTCTCTGTGTGAAAAGTGCTCTTCAGAAAAATGGTAACTATAAAGGTCATTTTTACCAATTCAGTAGAATAATGAAGATACTGCTTGTTATTATGTATGTATATAGTAAATGCACAAAAAAATGAGATAATATAAATTTTTCAGATCTAATTTTCCCTCTGTCTCATTGGAAACAAAATTAAATCATAATAAACTAACACAATATGGACATCACAATGAACTAACACAATATGGACATCACTGTAAACTAACACAATATGGACATACACAGACTGTCCCACGAAACAGGACAATGGTAATAAATAGTTTAAAATGTCTTCTTCCATATTTTTTAAGATAATAATGAAAAATATTACATGGTAGTCATATCTTAATAAAATTGATTTCAAAGAGTAGTATGTTTGAGTAAAAGATTTTATAAACGAAATAAACTGCAAAAAGTCTTAAATATTCAATACAGTATATGGAAGAAGATATTCAACACTTTTCACCCACTGTCATTCATGTTTCATGTAACAGGCCTGTATCTGATAAGAATATTGTTTCTTTGTAAACTTCACATAAGAAACTGCTGAATTTTGCCCGCCTGGCCTGGATAGATGCCCGGAGGAAACTTTAACGCTCGGTGAGACGACTTTGGTGTAAAACCGGTTTCTGTGTCTGCACTAAAGAGTCGGTAAAGAGCGCGGCCCCAGGCTAAAAACATAGGGATTCCCTTTACCCTCTAATCAAGCAAGTGTACACAGTAACCTCCAGAATTAGGCGCAGTGGGGGGAAGGTGGTTGCAAATTTCTTATCAGCTCTGTGAGAGATATATATTTTGCAACCATGAGAAATTTTTAACTTTTTAAATTGATTTCTGAATCAGATCTAATTAAATATATTTGCGGTTAATTCTGTNTGCAGAAAATCTAAAATTACTACAATTTCGATTATACAATCTTACAAAAACTAAAAACTCTTTTTTTCTAATCCCATATATCTTGGTATAAACTTCTAAAGGAGTTCCTGAGTTGATCGGATATAAAACAAACAAACAACAGAGATTATTTTATTATATATAGTTAGAAAATAAAATTCCTTTTTAAAAACTAGTGCATAATGTTGTAAAAAAAGAATATCACAAGCTTCCAATACATACTAATTTGTAATAATAATTCTGTGAAAGTTGGGCTAAATTTACCTCATTTTTATGATGTTGAAAAACATTGTGAAATTATCTAAATTTATTTGTCTTGGGCCTCTCAATAAACTTACTGTGCGTAACTGCACAGTGTGCACTGCAGGAAATAAACGAGTTTGGTTTAAAAAATATTGAAGAAGTTCTGAGCATATATTTTTATTGAAAGGAAAATAGATAAAAAATGTTGCTATATTCGCATTAAATACAAATCATTGTTTAATATAATTATGACAAGAAAGAGGGGCGTGAACCGTCCTATTATATTTTTAATAAAGTTTTACTTCTCACATAAAGCTGCAGATCTAGTAGATCTAGCATACTAAGAATGTGATATTTGAGAATATTAACCTAGCTCTACACTACAATAAATAAAACCGACTTTTTTTATTTAAAAAAATTGTAATATTGAGAAACTGACGAGGGTCAACCCAGACCGAAATATATTTTCAATAAATGTGGAACTAACATCTACTTTTGTTACTCGACAGAGGTTTGGTCCATCATCATCACAGAATTTTAAATATTGAGATACAGTCGTCGTCGTATATATTACCACAATGAAGATTACTTTATATTTCAATTTGATTTCTACCAGGCTTATTCAATAAACATGGATACACAATACACAGTACACAATACACAATACACAATACACAAACAATACACAATACACAATACACAATACACAATACACAATACACAATACACAATACACATAAGCATGGAAACAAAGAGTAGCTGTCATAAGAACAGCTTTTCTTTGTTTACTTGTAAACTTGTAATGTGAAAAGCTTGCTAGAAGTCAAATAGAAAGTAGGCTTCTTTGTATTGATATCAACGCCTACCACCGTCTTGAAATTCAATGTACAAATTCTATTTGTTTTATATTTGAAATTTAACAATGTTGAAAGTTTATTCTTTTTAATTTATTTACAGATTAATTAAAGATATTCTTTTTTATTTATTTCCAGATTTATTGAAGATATTATTTTCATTTATTTACAGATTTATTAGAAATATTATTTTCATTTATTTATATTATTTTGCTACAAAGATTCCAATTGAATTCTAACATCAAGAAAACGATGTGTAAAACTTCAATATTGACAGAAAAAAAATCAATTTTCTCCGAAAATATCCGATATTGTAAATATTTTTGCTTCAAGGGACTGTGCAAAAATACAGATGGAATACCAATAATTCTTTCTGATAAAAACTATGAACTCCGGGGCCTACAACAATGGTTAAGTTTATCAAAAACTATTCTTATAAAAATGAATTTGATAATTCAAACAACTTTCAAAATTATGCATCAATTTTCAAGACAGTGCAGTGTTGAATTTTACGTGTTGCAACCTTTTACCAAACAATACCAACTCATATTTATTTTGTTGTATCCCTGTCACATTAAACTAATGTAAATGTGCGGTTGGGATAAAACAACTCCTTTTATTGTAGAGGTATTGAAAAGAATTTAAATGTTTTAACCGAATGGGCTGAATTTTTTAGGTCCCCCTGGAGTACCCAGGGGTAACAAAAATCAAAAATTTTTAAAATTCGANAGGAATACATTCGGTAGGTTTATAGTACACTTTTAGGAATACATTCGGTAGGTTTATAGTACACTTTTAGGAATACATTCGGTAGGTTTATAGTACACTTTTAGAAATACATTCGGTAGGTTTATAGTACACTTTTAGGAATACATTCGGTAGGCTTATAGTACACTTTTAGGAATACATTCGGTAGGTTTATAGTACACTATTAGGAATACATTCGGTAGGTTTATAGTACACTATTAGGAATCTGTATTTTGTTGATATTTGTTAACACTAAATAAAAAAGTTTATGATAAAGCAAATTAATGAAAATCAACTAATAAATTAATAATCTTGTTTCAGATGTTGTTGTTCTTAGGGAAAGCTTATTTTTGAAGTTCAAAAGTTTCGGCTTTTCGTTTTTTCTTTTGTATTGACAATAGTAGGACCTTCCATTCGGGATCCTTTCACTTTTCATTTGGATCCGGATTCTAGGTCATGGAATTATATATCAGAATTAAGGTTTAACAATCACTCTTGGTTTATTCTGGTATATTCTTTCTTATCCTGGTATATTCTTGCTTATTCTGGTATATTCTGGTATATTTTGGTTTTTTCTGATTATATTTGGGTTTATTGTGATTGTATATTTTCGTATATTGTGGTTTATTCTGGTATAATCTGATATT